CCACGAGTCAGTCACTCGAGGTAAAATTAGCTTAGTCCAGATAAATATCTAAAACCCTATTCGATTTTAGGCTTGATTTTGCAACTGATTGTGATTTGTGCGTTTGCTTGGCTTGATTTTCTTTCGTTTGTCAAGATGCGCCGAGCTCGTGATTTTCTTGGTCAAGATATGACAAGCTCACGTTTTCGCCGAGCTCGTGGTTTTCTTTGTCAAGATGTGACGAGCTCGCAGTTTAGGTGAGCTCGTGGTACTGAGGAGTGCGGAGCTAGTGGTTTTGACGAGCTCGCGATATTTTGGGATGAGACGAGTTCTTGGCATTTTGAGATGAGCAGCATGAGGATATATAAAGTTGCAAGCTAGTAGGAGATAGAACGATGATATAAGAATTGTATAATTAATTTCTCAGACGACTCAAAGCATATGGCAGCTCGCCCTCAAAATCTGGGAGCCTGGTTGATATGGCGTAGGAGGACGGTTTGTAGTGTGCTGAAGCTGAGCCTGTTTTAACTTGGTATCTTTCCTATCTAGCTGGGTGGTTCGTGCATTTAGGGAGCTCGGCCATTGCAGGGGTAGCAAAAGCTAGCCCAGCCAAGAGCTCTGAGCTACCAGGTCGGCTATGAACTCCAAGGTGCCAGAAGCGCGTTGCCATGGTGGGCCGAGCTGAGGAAAGGAGGTGATGTAACATAGCATGAAAAAGAGTAGCTCGGCAGACATGTGACGTAGCGTCAAATAGAGGAGCTTGGCAGGTGTGCTGGAATAGCTCGGCATGTACATCACATAATCGGTTCAGTAAGAACGTCGAGCTCGTGTAGACTTGCGAGCTATGCGGGGGTAAGATTGGGTTCAGGAGCTCGGTTTTCAACCGACCTAGCAGGCCAAAGAGAGGGGCCGAGCTCAACACAGCTCGGCAGGTGGAAAGCACGACGAGAATGTAGGGAGATGAGCTCGGCCTCATGAATGGAGGTGGTAATTCCATGGCACGGTATTCCCGTTCACATGGTGTGGAAATCACTTTAAGCGATATGGAGAGACGAAAGTGGCTCGGCGGGTACATCATTCAAAAGTTGTTATGATCGACGAGCTAAAAAGCAACGAGATGAATTGCGTGGGGCCGAGCTGAATAAGCTCGGCCGGTATCCAGGAGCAGTCGCATATATGCGGGATTAGGATATGGTCGACGTCAGGACTAGCACGAGACGTACCTAGGAGATCATAGGAGTTGCACGACACGTGCCCTTTTTTGATGCAGCTTTGCAGTCTGCAGTGGAAGCCTTCTTGCATCGTATGTTTGTAAAGGGTTCTCGATTTTTGCTCAGATTGTTATGTAGGATAATTGCAGTATAAATTTTATTTTAAGCATTGAACTAAATTTGCGTATTTAAGCATGGACTAAATTTACGTATAATAAAATCAATTATTATATTGCAGTGCAAATCCCGATAGTCTCTCTCAATGATGACGGTCGAGTTGTTTTTGTATCCGAGGACAGCAAAGGAAGAGCCACAAAGCAAAGAGAACCCGTCAATAAAGAGAAGAGAAAGCTCAGGCTGAATGTGGTACCATTTGCACTAACATGTGTACTTTACAAGGACTACATTCTGGCCGACCCAACCTCTGAGGAAGAGTCGATTATGGAGACGTGTCTGACCGTAGTACTCGACTCGTCTTTTCAGCTCGTCTCGTTTAATAAACCTGGTGGGCCCCGTCTGGCACATACATCAGCAATCCAGGTGAATTTTCGCCTCGATTTATTTTCCTTTTTTTTCTTAACATCCTTCTATACTGAAAAGTACAACAATATCTGATAATCTTTCTAAAGTCTTCTGAAAAAAAAAAAAAAAAATCATCTTTCAAAGTTACAACTAACCGAGGTTTTGCAAATAACCGGTTGACGTTTGTATTTTCTTTATTAATTAATGCATGTGTCAAAAATGGATTGTGCACTTATAAGGAATTCATGACATGCTTGCAGGACTGCAAATCGTTAACGAGACAACGAGTGAAAGAACTTGAGAAGATTCTGAATGTAGCAATCTCTGATATGGAAGTCGACTGAGAAAATTTGTTCCGTAACCGATATTAGTCGTTACAACTTTTAATTTTGTTTTTGATTTTCCCCTCACCTTTTGTATCTTTTGTACTCAGTAGAGATAATGAAATTCCTCATATAGGTTTGGAGATGTGTTCATACTTCATAGACCTTAGCATGCTTTGTCAAGTTTTGGTTTTGTCTTTTCAGCTTTTATATATTTGCTGGAAAATGTTGACAAGTGCCTAGTTGTGTCGGATTATGAATAGCATTGTGAGAGATCTTTCATTCATCTTCACTTCAGTTTCTTAGAACTTATATAGAATATTTGTTAAGAAAATGAAAGAATACTACAATAAAGATGTTAAAATAATAATAATAATAATAATAATAATAATAATAATACACTATTATTAATACGTTCTCACAAGTATCACTATTCTCATCTATTTGTTTCTATAAAATTTCCACTGACGCGATAAAAAATAATAAATAAAAATCATTACGACATACTTGTATTTTTCATATTAACGAGTTCCTTATTAATTAGTTGCTATTTTTAATACATCATTTTTTATTATAAAGTATAAATTATATCAATTAGTATTTCTTATTTATTTCACCTGATATGGCATAGGAGGATGGTTTGTAGTGCGCTGAAGCTGAGCCGGGTTTAACTTGGTATCTTTCCTGCCTAGCTGGGTGGTTCGGGCATTTAGGGAGCTCGGCCATTGCAGGGGTAGCAAAAGCGAGCCCAGCCAAGAGCTCCGAGCTATCAGGTCGGCTATGAACTCCAAGGTGCCAGGCGTGTTGCCATGGTGGGCCGAGCTGAGGAGATGAGGTGATGTAACATATAGCATGAAATAGAGTAGCTCGGCAGACATGTGACGTAGCGTCTAAAAGAGTAGCTCGGCAGACATGTGACGTAGCGTCGGCGGGTAAGCTGGAATAGCTTAGCATGAACATCAGCTAATCGGTTTAGTAAGAACGCCGAGCTCGTGTAGACTTGCGAGCTATGCGGGGGTAAGATCGGGTTCAGGAGCTCGGTTTTCAGTCGGGGGTAAGAAATCCATGACATGCTTGCAGGACTGCATATCATTAACGAGACAACGAGTGAAAGAACTTAAGAAGACTCTGAATGAAGCAATCTCCTATATGGAATTCGACTGAGAAAATTTGTGCTGTAATTGATATTAGTCATTAGAGCTTTTTAATCGTTTGTTTTTGTTTATTTGATTTTCCCTCACCTTGTGTATCTTTTGTACTCGGTAGAAAAAAATGAAATGCCCCATATAGGTTTGGAGATGTGTTCATATTTCATAGACCTTAGCATTGTTTGTCAGTTGCGTTAGCCGAGGTGGGAGTAGTTCCACTCGCCGAGGCTGGTAGTGCTAGGGTCAGCGACGGCTCACCTATTGGTTTAAGTTCGAAGGAGGGTAGGAGGTTGAATTAGTTGACGGGGCTAATTCTTCTAAACCACATATTACATGAAAAATCATAGAAATATTAACGAAAGATAACGACTGAACGGGGATATAAATACTTGCTGCAATTATGTGTCGAGTGGAAAAAAAAATGATGAACAAGGAAGGAGAGCACTTGCCCATGAATCCGCCGGACATGAATGTGGAGATGGGAGATCGGGAATCCTGCTGGCCGTGCTTGTTGGCGAGAGGAAAGCAGTGCATCAGATTTCAAGAGCAAAGGAGTAGAAAGACTGAAGGGAGCGAAATGGGAGAATGATGAGTCAATATTTATAGGGGGTTATTTGGGAGGAATTCAAAGGGACGGTCGATCTAGACCATTCGATCAAGAGCGGATCGACGATGCAAGATCAAGCGTGCTGAGGAAGATAGAAAATTTTGGGATAGCTCATCATGGATCAGTAATATACGACGAGCTCAGCGTTTTCTGAATGCGACGAGCTCCGGGTGTTTAAGGAGTGCCGAGCTCGTGGTTTTTTGTCAAAAATGGTTTTTTGTGGATGTGACAAGGGACGAGCTTGTAGTTCTTCAGCTATATTGAAATCAATGTTTATGGTGGGTTCCTTATTACGTTTCGGATCGATTGCAGTTTGGATGTATGATTGATTAAGAGACCAATTGTGGTGAAGGTCCTTTGGCTGTTAAAAAAAAAAATTCATCATTTCCTTTAAAATACTTTTCGCTGTTGTTGAAAAAGAGGTGTTGTAATGCTAGAACTTAGGAGCAAGATGTGCATGCCATCAATATTGCTTGCCTTTTTTGCTTGGGTATTCGGATAAACTGTATTTAAAAAAAAAACATAAGCTAGTAGGAGATAGAACGCTGATGTAAGCTCGGCCATTTCAGGGGTAGCAAAAGCTGGGTGGTTCGCGCATTTAGGGAGCTCGGCCATTTCAGGG